TTTTTTTAGTAGTATTTTTTTTAAACCCTCCCTTCTAACTCAATTAATTTGTGGTTAAAAGAAAAAAAAGTTACCACCACATCATAGATATATATGTATATATTAAAATATCTCTTCATGTAACTTAATAAGTAATATTTATAATAAATGGGATAAAGGGATGTCTACTCATAAAATTATAAATATTAGGTRAAACATGGAAATCAATCAGTAATAATCATTAAACATGAATAAATTGTTAATCATCTTCTTTTAATTCTAATTTTTTCTAAATTTTAATAATTAAATTTCAAACATCAGTAGGTTAATACCTACATATTATATCAAATATCTCAATGCATATTTTCATGATCATAAAATATTGTTTTACATTTGGTATCGAGTGGGTTAATTTTATCTAACTTTTTTAAAATTTTTCTTATATTTTCTATTCTATAGAATTTACAAAAAAGTTATATCAATGTACATTTAGTATATATATATATCTATATCATTTTTTTTATCCTACAAATTTAATCAAAACATTTTTTTTTTCTTTTAACTATATTATGGTTACTAAACTTGCATATAAAGAAAGCTGTTAATTACGACTTACTACTACAAATTTATATATTTTTAAGGACCTCTCAAAACTTTCTTAAAACATTATTGTTGTGTTGATATTAAAACATTAACACAATAAATGCGTAAATGAAGCTGCAATACATTTATGTATAATATATTGTATCTATTTATATTCAAATTGTCCCATTTCAAATTCGGGTCGTTGGTATAAATTAATTACATTTAATACTTGATGAATACACGATGAAATAAAAAAGTACCTAGTACCTACCTACTATCATATCATTGTCGTGGATAGGCGTGTATATTTTCTTTAAGCTTTCTATTAACGCGATTTTAACAGAAAATTAGGCATGCGATACTTTATATCTTTTCTGATCTATATATTTTTTTTTATATATATTTACATAATATATATTTTATTTTGTGTGATTGTATATACATATATATATACCGTGTGTCCTAGAAATACAGAACCATTCAAAATGTCTCTTTAATGAATGAATATATTTTATTTATACGTTTAAGTATTTAATATCAACAAATTTGGGAGGAAAACTATACGTATTCACAGCAGATGGTTTAATTTATATCTCTTTTTATCCCAAACTTGTTTGCATTAAATAATTRATGYGAGTGATATTTTGAATGGATCGTGATTATTATTTCTGAGACATATTGTATAAGTATATTCAATATTCAATATTTTTGGATATTTATATTTACATTTTTTTTTTTAACAATTCAGAATGTTCAATACGCTTTATAATTTATTTATTTATTGTTATTTTTATTCTCAAAGTTTTATTAATAACACCACGCTCGTTAAAATATTATACTTCACACGTGTTWTAACGCTCATTTATATCTACATATTTATAAAAATATATAGATATATGAATACATAATATATTGATATATGAATACATATATATAAATCAATAAATGTATACAACGGTATGATCATTTTTTATTATCGCCTTGAATTAAATTGAATGTTTTATTTCAGTCAGAAAAACACGTCGTGTTGTTGTTATTTCTCCTGTTAACTGCAAAGTTTAAGAAACTTTTGAGATGGTCCTCGGTCAGGTCGATAATATAATGATTATCGAAACACGATATTATATAATAATATTAATTATTCGTGTTATACCTAATGTTTAGTTGTGTTTTGTTGATGATTTTCAATTGTCCTTTTTTTTTTTTTTATGAAATGTCATAACGCGATGGATTGTTGTCTCGTTCAGGACTTTGAGGTACCTATATTAGCAACATTTACGTTAAAAAGTACGGTTTTGTCATTGGTAATAGATATTATAATATAGTTTTGATTTCCTGTTTGCTATAATAAATCAACCACTCTAGTGCATATTACGTATATACGATTGGACTGTAAAATATTTCGTTTATTTATTTATTTTTCTTTTATTACCTATATATATATATTTATATATATAAATTATGCAGACGAGTAGCGTCACTGTATTTTTTTCTATTATTATTATTTTTAAAATAACTGTTCCTCGGCCGTTCTACCCTACACACACACTAAAAATGAATAATTTAATAATAATGCATTTGTTTAGGAGTTTCTACAACGGGGAGCATGGCTGTAATTGCACAAAACGTTATAAATAAAATTATATTTATTACATATTACATATATATATGCATATAACATAATACCTATTATGTATTCATATACATATACCTACTACCTTAATAAATACCTATCTATATATATGTATATGTGTTAGTGTGTGTGTGTATGTATGTACCTATGTGTGTATGTATGTACCTATGTGTGTGTGTGTGGGAGTGTAAGTGTCTGTATAGCATGTCATTAAAAATTAAGTTACCTCAATCAGGTATACATTTCAGTTAAAGTATTTAACAAAAAAATAAATATAATATATTATGTTTATGTATTACTTAAAACACCTTTGTTTTTCAGTACCTACCTACCTTATATATACATATCTATCTATCTATCTATCAACATATATATATATATATATATAAAATAGATATATCTGACGCATGTATGTTTACATGTATCTACCTACCTATGTAGTATGTATGTATAAATATGTATATGCATATATTTATACATGTATATCATCAATGTGTATTGATAATAACTATGTGTAACGATTACCTATATAATTATTTACAGTAACTGCCTGGCCATCTCACTAGTTGACTTAAGCTTTGAATTTTGATGTTTGTGCTTTTGTCCGACATATTACATTTCATTATTTTTAACAAAAAAAAAATATAAATCAAAACATTGTTCAACCATATACAATATGTTTTAAGTATTATCACTGTTCTGTGTTTAACTATAGTCTTATTACCGTAAGTGTGTGTACCTATAGAACTATAGTATAATTATAATATTATGTAGCTGCACTGAATTGTTTTTACATTAACTAGTTTGCGCTTACATTTTGTATTACCCACTATTGTGTTGCATGTTTATAACTGTATTTAATTTTAATAATTAACTAGGTATATAAAATATCTGTATGTGTTATTATTAGATACACTAGGTGTAAATTGTAAGATATTTTAAGATTTAACGAACAATACCAATAGGTAGGTAAACCCACTATAAACTCACTTACGATGTGTTACAATACATAAACTATAGCACCGTTATTACAATACAATGGTCAAAAGTTTCTTACCAACATTATATTATCATCTACTTCTTCTTTAAAGCATTAGTTTTCACTAAAAATGGTGTTTTCCTATTTTTGTTCTAATAATAATACTTAAATGTATAATTGTATTTATATATCCAGTCAACACTAAAATTATGTTAAGAATTTTAATATCATTTTTTAAACAACCAATGATTACATAGACATAGCCACATAGGTGTATTTACCATATTATAATATACAAGACCAGTGTCTAAAATGTTGTTTTTTAGAAATGAGATATTTTATTTTCATTGTGTATTAGGTATATGTGTGACGTGTAGAACTGACACATATTACATATTTTTAATAACRATAACATATTATTCGGATAAGATGCTTTCAATTTTGCCCCCGACGTCTTTAACTCTTAATCTGTCAGCGTATAAACCTAATCATTTATCTTAAAGATTATAATTCAAGGGTGCATTGCAATTTTCAATAGCATTTTTCAGAGTATTGAAAAACTATCTATATACAATTAAATCTAAATAAGGTTTGAAGAAAAGTGGGCATTAATATAAGCATGGAACCTATTGAAGAAATAGGTCAGAGAGACTAGATAGTGGTTTTTAATTACTCAGCTTAGAATCGTTCTTTAAATACCATCGTTTATTACTTACTATATCACCTACCTWCTTTACGCTAGTTTCTTTAACTAGTTCCTCCATATTTTTAAACAATGGGAAGTCCAAGTCCTTCAATAATTGCGATCGATGTATGTGTTAATATTATGTATTTACCTATAATGTATAAATAAAACATTTACCTAAGAATAATTTAATATTATAATACTTTAAATGAAGTCACTATTGTCTTGATAACAATTTAATTAGTTAGTAGTATAATATACATATATATATATATATATAAAGATCAGTTAGGTGCACACTTTTAAAACCAATGCCGTTGGCAAGTAAACAATAAAATATTGAACAACTATACATAATATATTGCATCATTAGCACATCTAGTCACCACACTTAAAATATTGTTTACATTAAAAACTAATAACTAATTGTTTCGTTTCAGTTTTTTGTTCGTCTTGATCATGTGAGAAAATGTTTTACAGTGCAGAAAAAAATATTTGTTTTGGAAGAATACAGTGAGTAGCTTTATTTATTAGTTTATTTTTAATAACTATTGCAAAAACCCTAATTTTTAAATATGTTTAAAGATCCAAAATTGAAACATATTATTCAAAGACAATACGAATCACCTATGGTAAGTTGCATCTTATAATGTTAAGTTCTAGAATTTAGGTACTACATATAATATAAGTACATGTGAAAAATTGTTTTAAAATAAGTATGATGCATGCTCAAATAAATTAAATCGTAGGTAGGCTATATATCGCAATAATATTGCATGATGAATGCTTGTTTAAATTATTATTTATTACTTATTATAATTAGATATTTTAAAATGTTCAAACTACTTTAAAAGAGTGTAATTTTTCAACATAAATAACCTTTAATTATGTATACATTTTAATTAACTAAAATAGATAAACTCAGAAACATTCACATCATATTTTAAAAGGAAATTGTTTATAAATAATTAGTAATTACAATTTATATATTTTAAATTCTACACCTGTTGTTATAAGTATAATATCGTTGTAGAAAATTCTTATCCTACGTATTGCCCTAGACCTGCATAAAAAGGGTGCATGGGAAGYATATGAAKCGAGTATTTAAAATAAGTAGGTATAACCACACACCAATGTTGTTCTGGTGATAATTTGGATGGTTAACCTGCATACCATCCTCACCACCAAKCCAATTCATAAAAGTACATTAATAATTTTTAAATTATAAACAAGTTTATTGTTAAGATACTTATCTGCGTTAATGAGTTGTTTTATTTAATTGATACCTAATAACCAAGCTTTATTAAATTTGTAATTATTAAGACAAAATTATGACTGTTGGTCAGWAATTGAGGAATGATAGAATGTATCTATTATTATCCATATATTTATTTTAAAAGTGTATTTAAACAAAGCTGTATTGTTATATTTCTAAAATATGAATTATTTATCATATACTCTTATTTCCTTCCCTTTGACTACCAACCCAGTCAAAAGAATCTGTGCACCCCTATTTGTGTTTATATAAGTTTTGCCTCTGAGCTATGAGTATGATTTTACTGAGATGTGGTAAACATTTAAAAGTTTAAAACAAAATTTATTTTACTTAAGATGATGTCGTTCCCGCATAAGTTCTTTTGTCTTATTAACCCATAATATACCAAAATATATGTCTAGCAGTTTAAATATTGTATAGTTTGCACAAATA